AAGGTTTCAGATCAGATTGCAACCAGTGGTGGATTCAACTGTCCCCTCTGGCAAATGATTTACGCTGAATCCGAAACTCCCTCGGCCTCCAAAGTCTCTAACCAACTGCTGTGCTCGGATGTCCCAGCATCATATTTGGAGGAGAATAAAACCCTTCAGATGGAAGCACTTCATTGCTGCAGAGGTAATACATTGTAAGAGATTGAGTCCGGTTAGGATGGATTAAAGCACTCAACCAATACTTATTATTTTAATCCTTAGCATCCACCATAGTATCTGTACTCAGTACATAAGACGTGGCTCCCAGCCGCCAGGAGCTCACCGTCTAACCCTAACCACACATGAACAGCAGGTCCTCTGTGTGTACCTGTTGGAACAGAGGTCTGTAGCAAGGGTTACCGGAATTCAGATAAAGCAGGTTGCGGAGTGGAACTGGGGAGAGACAAGCATTACATTTCAAAGGGGGGTGTGTGTGTGTGAGGGGGCAGTTAGAAGGAGGGGAAGGTAAAGCAGATGAAACTGGAAAGGACTGAGCGTACAATAGGTGTTGTTGAGGAGTCCCATGTAGCACCAGTAACAACTTGCACGTCTATGCTACTTTATAGTTAACAGAAAAAAATGCCATATACTTCATCTCACCTGACACCATAGACCGGGCAGCTATCGTTCCCATGGTATGCACCTGAGCTGAAGTGCCCCAAGTCCTGTAGTGAGTGGGAGAGAAAGAACCGAACCCAGGTATTCAGGCCCCCGAGCCCAGGGCTCTTTCTGGAGCACCCAGGTGGCCCACAGACAGTACGGTACATCCAGGCATGGAGGACACACTCACATGGGGGTAGGGCCACTGGACGCCAGCCTTACTCAGATGCTCTGGGGCAAGAAAGGGCATTAGAACAGTGGGTCTCAACTGTGGCTCCCCATTAAAAATATTGGAAGAGGTTTGCTCAATGCCCACACCTCTGTCCCTCTCCAGAGATTTCGAGTCCACTGGCTGGGAGCCTGGCAGTGAGATTTTTAAAAAGCACCCCAGCTAATGCCAGTTGTGCGGCCAGGTCAGCACTGCCACCCAGGAGCCGCCATGGACCTGTCCTGCTTCGGTGTCTTTGTGTCTTCATCTTCCCAGACCAAGAGCAAAGTCTTTGCACTTCTCCATGTCCTGATGCAGCTACGGCAACTTCAACACTAACGTGCAACATCATGCACTTGTTTTGAACGACCTGTTGGCTACTCTGAATTTTCTAATGTACACAAACACAAGGGCTGCTGGTGGTAAGGTGGTGTGAAAAAGCAGAGACACACCCAGGTGATCTGCAGAAAGTTTTTCTTGGGAGTCTGATGGTGCCAGCAACATCCTGCTGCTCCGATTTTTCCTCAGCAGCAGCTAACCCTCAAATGCTTGGTTCCAAAAGAATTGGCTCAGAACTCCCACTGAAAACTTAGGAACATTTTAGAAAAGAGGTATTAAGCCTAATCCCAGATTAGTAAGCATGGATTGGCAAAACTGATTATACTGCCATATAAAAAATTTTAAAAAGCAACTATGTTCATGGGGACTTTTCCCATTTACTGGAACAGTTACAGGGATGGCGCCTCTCTCTCCCCTACCTGCCCCCCACAGATGTTCGTGACGTGATCTCAGCAAGGGCCTAGAGCAAATTGAGAGGAGATTGAGACCAAGGGAGAAAGCACATCTGGCCCTCATCCCTGCAGCTGCAGTGGCTTCGTAGACACCAGCTGACCATACTGAGCAACCTGGGCTCCCTTCCGACGTGGGCACCGATTCAGACACAGGACTTCTACAGGCTTGTCGTATCTAATCTACTGGAAAGGCACAGAACATTTTTAACCCAACAGCAGATAATTGAAATGAAATCATTCTGGCCAAAAGGGCCCATTTGTAATAATGAATTCAAATCAGATTCATAGAAGCTATAATTCAGACACAGTGAATACCACCATCATTTCCATATCCTCTCTTTCCCAAGAAGGCAAAATAACTCAATATTCAAATAATTACTTTTACTTTTCAAGTAGCCCTTTGAAGTAATGATGGGAAAGATGATATTGCCTCACTTATATAAAATGAGGTTCATCCCCGTTCCAAACTTCAGTCGCCTTTGCCACAGCACTTCCTCACATCCTTCAATGCCCCCAAGGGCCCATCACGTGAAAACTGCCCCCCCCCCCAGGAAGGAAGTAATCCTTCTCTAAGCCAGGCAATTTCTTACTGGAAAAGTCGAAGAAGGACCCCGTCCTCCCCATTCCTTTGCTTTTCCTACTCAGTCTTTTGGCTTCCAATGTCACTTCCTTCAAGACTTAGACACAGGCTTGGAATTCTTTGGCCCACGGCGGTCACATTTGAAAAGGTTTCCCGTGGCCGATGGCCATGGGAATCCTCCCATTTCTCTCAATACATTTTGAACATTGGATGCATTTGAAACGCTAAGTTCCCCCATGCTGACTTCCCAGTGGGACGTCGGGAAGGAGACGAAAGAGTGACCATACTTAAGAATTACATTTTTTATTAAAACACAGCATGTTTCCTTGGGGTTGAAGCTATGGACTTCCAGAGACCGGAAGCATGGACTCTCCCTCTGACAAATAAGTTTTTCTTTGAGATGGGAACACATGTTTTCACCAATAAACCAAAGGAACATGGAAAACAAGAGGAGAGAGATATTGAGACCCTGGGGAGTCTGCAGGAGATGTTTATGTTTTTTTAAGACACATTACGCTAGCAGTGAAATCGAAACTTAAAATATCAGGAAATAATAAAAAGTAAGTGATTAAGGGGAAAAAGAAGAAAATAAATTGTTATTCTTTATTATTTTGACTATTGGCAACAGCACTTAAAATGGAGGCATATGATAAAAATAAAGGAAGAAGGTAATAAAAGAGAAGAAACCAAGAGGTAAAAAAGGGGATATGAAGAGATTAAAATGTGGACAATATGCTGAATTTGTCTATTTCAGGGTAAATTATACAGAGAGGAGACACAAAATCAACATAAGACATGTGCTTACTTAAAAAAATAAAGCATGCAATCAGGTAACAGGTAAGTTATACTTGAGCATGTAAGGATTTTTTTTCCCTCTAAACAAAGCACAAAAAGCAACTATTCAGCTTTTCCTTTTTTCACTCCCATTTCCATTACCAAGACCAGCTGCTAAACATTATAATTGAAGATCATGAAAGCAGGCCAGCAGCTAAGATAGATAGATAGATGATAGATAGATAGATCGATCGATCGATCGATCAGTCGATAGAAGTTTGCCCTCTGCTGGTAGAGGAGTTTTATTGCACCCTGGAAAGCAGAAAGCTCAAGTTTTTATTTTTGGTTTAACTTTTAGGGGCAGGAAGAGGACAGAGGGTTTTGGAAAGTTCACCACTGAGGTCTTATTCCATACTGTGTCCCCTTGCCCCTGATGGTAGATTAAAGGATAAAGAGAGCTGTGTGGCAGCGTCCACACCCCTGCATGTCTAGCAATATTTCCCGGCATTTCCTTGGTGAACATGCGCCAGTGCTGCTCCCAGCCTGAGTGCCACTCATATCTATGAGCCAACTCGTGAGCACAAATGTGCATCCAGCAAGTTATGTCATGAGAAGGGACTCCGAAACTTCTTTGAGGCAATGAATTTGGCACATTGCACTCTGCTCTGAGACAGACAGAAAGATGACACAGGACCGGGAGTGCTTCCCTCCTGCTGTTAAGGAAGGAGGTCTGGCTCTATCTTTTTTTCCTCTTTCTCTACCTGAGGCCCCTAAGCACCAGCAGCCAAGGCTCTGGGACCTATTTCCTATCTCAGAAGAAGATAAGGCTGAGAACCACCCCGAGTGTCAAGAATCCAACCTTAGCCCTTGGGCGTAGGAAAAAATAGCTGGAGTCCCAATAAGCCTTTCTTCCCTTCCCCAGGGGAAGGCTTGACTAGGTGTAGAGAGAGTTTAACAGGGGAGCCAGGGGATAATGGGAGGGATGCCCCCCCCGCCCCCCCCCCGCATTCCTTAGAGAAGCCAGGTCTTTTGGCTGCAGAATCTGGGACAGAATGTTTTATTTTCACTATAACCATCAAAGTCATAGACAGGGCAAACACACTCACCCTGTGTATACTGTGAGCCAGAGTTAAGCTGGGACGTCTCTGAATCTGTCTCCCAGGACCAGAACTGCCTCATTAAAGGGATAAAAGATGATATCTGCTGAGCTGGTGGAAAGTTGTGGCTGCATTTTTATTAAAGTCTCCGCTGCAGCAGGTCTGGTCCCCAAAGGTTCATATTCTGAGAATCTCCACCCCTCTGCCCCAAGCACGTAAGTGATTCTCTGTAACTCATTAAGGTAAGACAAAAAGCGTTCCTATTGTGCTTTTTGCACAGGAGTGATGTCCTTGCATAAAAGCTACATGTTTCCTCTCTTTGGCCTGAGACTGCAAAGATAAAACTGCCCTCATAATTTATCATCGGGGGCCCAGGAGCACCAGGCAGGGTTGACATGGATGACTGTGTCTTGAGCAGACTCATAAAGGGCCATGGCCCAGCACTAGCAATTCCAGAGCCTGGGATTGTAGGCACCTCTCTGAGAGGGGCCAGTAAGCCCACCCCGAGCACTGTCCTGCCCCAACGCATGCCTCCTGGCCCGTGTGCTAGCCACCGAGGCACCCAGCTGTTTCAGACGAGCCCAGTGTTCCCATTCCAGGGCTCTCGTGCCCTCATGGTGGTGCCAAGGCTACGTGAATCTGGCCATGCCATGGGCTGGGCTGCAGTGGAGTCCCAAGCACGGACCTCAGTGCTCACTTGTAAGACCCTGGACCAGCGAAGCTGGAGCAAATGGCAAACCTGTCCAGGACAATGGGTATCAGCTGTCACAGTATGCAACAGGGCACCTCTCGGGCCTTTAAAGGCCGTCCTCTCGCACGCCCCCACCCCAAGCCTTCAGTTCTCTGGCTCACTCTTACCCACACAATCCCATTCCAGAGGCTCAGTCCCCCGCTGAAGTACAGCTCCCTACCTGAGGGTGGCGCTCTCCCCCTGCCGGACCGTCACGTTGTCCATAGCTTTGGGGAAGGTGGCATCTCCGCTGCGCACGGGCACTCCTGTGGGTACAAGGAACAGCAGCCTGAGAGACACGACCACGAGGCACTTCCAGGGCAGGAACAGGTACCCACAGACCCCCATCCTCGACAGCCACAACTTCGCAGCACGCCGGCGGCAGCACGGTCCTTGTCCCCGCCCCGCGCACCAGCGGGTCTCAGGAAGTGGTTTGGGGAGAGGAAGGGATGGAGCCAGCCAGAAGCAGAAACGAGTCCAGGCTCTCCGAAGCCTAATGATTCTTCCTCAGATCTTGCCTCAGCTTTCCAGCCTGGCAGAACCAGATGCCCCTCCTGCATCCAAAAAAGAGCTTTCTTGACGCTCCCCGGGGAGGAGGGAGGCAGCGGGAAGGGAGAGAGAAGGAAGGTGCAGGATGAAGGTCACAGATTGCTCTTTCTCTGCCTCTCTCTTCGAGATGCTACTTTAGAATTCAGTTGGATACGTTCTGCAGAGGTCTGACACCAAAAGTTTATAACCCAAAGAAGCCAGGCAAGTGTCTCTGACATAAAGGAGATGTCATAAAAAGCTGCTGCCTCAGAGAGAGAACATGTTTTATTAGATCACACATGTGTATAGAAATATTTATGAACAGCCCAAGTCTCGAATCTGGAACCCAAAGGCGGTAAAAAGTTCCACCGCGGGCACAGGGGGCCGGCTCAGCGCTGGGATCCTCCGGCGCTGTGGATGTTCGCCACCGCAGCCCGGGCGGCGACTGGCGGCCACCGGGCCCGCGCTGCCAGCCCGCCCAGCGCCGCCCGGCGCAGACTCGGGGCGCAGGGGAGCTGGGCGGACGGCGCCCCCGCCTCCTCCGGGGACGCGGCGCGGGACGCGGGGACGCGCGGGGACGCGCGACGCCACGCTCAGCGGCAGCCCCAGTCTTCCGCGCCGCCTTCCTCCCGGGAGCAGCCCCCACGCGCACGGGCCCCGACCGCCAGGGTTGTCATGGCAGCAGCTCCACCACTGACCGCCACTTTCTCCAGTGCTCGCGCAGCGCGGGCGTGGGGAGCGGGCGGGCGCGGGGCGGGAGCGCGGGTGGGCGTCCACCTTAACCCCCGCGGCGCCGCGCCCACATGGGCTGACAGCAGCGGTGAGGCAGATACCTCACCGGGCTCAGCCCTCCCGGACCCCAGACCAGCGAGAGATCGCGGCGCCCTCCCGGCGGCTCCCCGCCGGCGGGTGGGTGGGGAGGGGCTGGAAAGGGGGGAGAGGGAGTTCCGGGAACGCAGCAAATTGAGCACTGGTGCTCGCACCTTCCCTCCCCGACGCCGGAGCAGAAGTTGCCAAACTCCGCCCTGGAGAGCTGACTACGTTTCCCAGGACGGGGGGCTGACCTGTGCGCAAGTCCACCACCCGGGCCGCCCCTGCTCCCCCTGGCCGAGCTACAGTCGCACAGCAGAGCTCCCCTGGGCTTTTGCAAACAGATGGGACGCTTTCCGCTCTCCGGACTCGCCGGAAATGCCCAAGGCCCTGGACGTGCTCTGGCTCTCAAACTGGCAACTCTGAATTTCTTCGCACAACACGCAACATTGTCCCCATCTTCTTCCATGCTTATTACTCAAGTATCTTATTTTAAAAAAGAGAGCGAGAGCGAGCGAGAGAGAGAGAGAGAGAGCTGGAGGAAAACACAGAGATCCTAAAATGTAATTTTAGGACTGACTTTCTTTGGCTTACGATCACGGCATGATGTGGCGCCCTAGTGGAATTGGGAGGGGACTTGGTGAGACGGCATTCGCTGCATCATGATTTAATGGTTGCTATGTGCATTTGCTTTACCGTGTTCTTTCTCAAGTCCTTTGTTACATTTAAATTAGACCAGGCACTGAATAATTGTTACACTGGAATTTAATTCAAAAATAAGTTTTAAACTTTTATCACGTATGACTTCTCTTGCTGAATAATACAATGACGCACCGGGTGCTCTCTGTTATGAGGGGCCGGGCACAAATAAACATGGCCCACCGTCCCACGCCAAGTGGTAGCCTGCATGCAGCCCTCAGCCTGAAGTTTTTCATTAGCGCATCATACCCCAGGAAGGAAGAATACTTGTCACTAGTCACGCCGTCTACGTTTCATATGTTTTAATACAGTGAAAACACAATCAGCTTCTTTCCGGAAAGCAGGTATTAATACCAGCAGGAGCCGGGGAGAGCGCTCCCCCGTGGCTTCTGGGCTGCAGGGCTGAGAGGAGAAATGGGGGGGAGGGGGTGCCCGAGCGCTCACAGAGCAGCCAGCCCGCTTATTTGGGGTTTTAGTCACACACATCTTTCCTTGCTATTTGAGTGGCCCTGGGATTTCTGTACACACATTGCACCTAATCCTCTAAATTCTGAGATGCGTTTGTCAATTATCACCAGACTGGAAAGGCTTTTCCAGAGTTTTAACCGGCGGAAAGCTGATAATGTGAGGCTGTGCTCATGATGTTCTTCAGTTAGGGAGTTTGCATCTTGCACACGGGGGTGGGGGGTGGGGGGGTGGTAGCAGTGGGGGCGGGTCAGGCTGCGTACAGGTCACCCAGGTCCTGCCACGCTTGCTTGTGCAGTGCTCAGGTGACATTCTCCACTCATGCGCCTGTTGCCACTAGTGTTTCTCAGGAGATGCAAAATGGGCGCATTTGCTAAATATCAGATCAACTCATAAAAGATTGCTTGAGATGGAAAGAGTTGTTGGGGACTAAACCAAAGGAGGGCGGAGCACGAGACTCCAGGTGGACAAGCAGAGTGGAGCAGGAAGGGACCGGAGGCAGAGACGGGTTAAAGGGAGGCCTTCCCTAGTCCTGATAACACGTCATCAATCTGCTCTCGAGGAAGGAATGAACCTAGTACCTTTTTTTTCCAAGGCTGGCCGCTCCTAACTACAGATATCTGGAATCCTAGAGACTCGGCTGTGTCTATTCTCTCCGGGAAGCTGGCGTCCCAGTTCCGCATTTGTGAGTGAATGAATGGGCTGAACTCAAGGGCTAGTACATCAGAGAAATAACTGCAGAAGTCTCATCTTTATGTTAATCTATGTCGATATACAGATCTGTGGGGGGGATTTCGTTCATCTGTGAGGCATCGTGAGGGACTGGTACATCCCTTTATAGACTAGAGAGCCAAACAAATTGACATGGAAAAGAGAATGGGGGTGAGAATCGCAATGAACAAAGTAGTTCATATCAGGAGTTTTTATGAAATGCTTAGCCGAGTCCTACGAGAGAGACCCCAAGTTAAACCCTTCTTGGACATATGGCACCATGTGCGAAGGCAAATCACGTGAGGACAAGTTAAAGTACTGACTAAGTGTGTGGTTCTGAAGTTGGATCATCTCTTCAGTCTGACCCCTCAACCCCTCCGCTGTGCGTGTGATACATTAGACTGCCTATCTCACCTGTCTCAGGGTGGGAGGGGGTCTTGACATGTCTTCAAGGTTTCATTTCCAGGTATGGTAAGACGACAGACACGGGGACAATATCTTGGAAAAAGAGTTCGTTACGTAGCATTCCCAAGGGGAGGGGCACTTCGTGCCATGCAGGGCCACGTCAGGAGGCGCCAGAGTAAGTCAGGAGACAGAAGGAGCCGGGGGAAACGAGGCTCAGAGTCTCTACTGTGGTTTCCACAAGGAGGAACTGCTGAGGCAGGGCAGACAAGTGTGAGCAAGTTTGGGACTGGCCTGCTGGAGTAATCGTGGCTTCTCTGAGGGCACAGGGGGGGTCTCCAGTTGTCCAGTTCCTGGCCCCACGGTGAGTTAGGGCAGGGGATATATTGGTGTGTTGTGTGAAGGTTGAATAAAAGAAGAGGTTGAGAATTTCGGTTGGTTTGCCGAGGAAAGCAGTGCTAGCAGGTTGTTTGCTCTCTCTAGGAATCTGCTAACCCTGAGAGGGGCAGTCTCTCCAGAATTTGGGGAGATTGCAAGGCATCCAAGCAAGCATCATAAAATACTGAAAATAAAAAAAAGATGTGTAATACAAGGTGGTAATTAATGAGGTAATACATGGAACACATTATCAAAGGACTTGACACATTGGATGTTTTTAGGAATCATAAATCAGGGTTATGTAGCATAACTCCCACTTTCCTTTGGTAACAAATTGTGATATGTAAAAACATAAGTAAAAAGATGCAAGTGCTCTACCTGAATCAAACTAGAGCTTTGATTCAGACCTACCGACACCTTGGTATTTCGGTGATTTGTAATAGAAAATGCAGAGTCGGATTGGTGCAATAACTCTAGGAAACTTAAAGCAGAGAGGTGACATAATCTAATGGGTAAAGTTTTGAAATGCCCCTCTTGCCATTGTGTAGCGTATGTATTGTAAGTGTACAGAGTGGAAGGAGGGAGGACAAGAGGGAATAAATAAAGGTGGCAGGGCGGTGATGGAGAAAACCCGAGATGTGTGGGGCGTGTTTTGGAAACACCGTTGTGTTTAGGGCGGCCTGAGAGCCTGGACGCGGGGGTTAAGGACGAGGAAGGCGTTGAGGATGATTCCAAAGCTTAGTTGGTGACTCGGAGGAGCAGTGTCCTGTGATAGGGACGACTCCGGAAAGAACGTGTTTAGAGAGGCAGGGGTTGAAAGCGTGAGTTAAAAGCTCCGTGAGACAGCCGAGCAGAGACGTCAAGTGTAGCAGTGGGAGAGAGGAGCCTAAAGCTTAGAGTGAGGACGGAGGATAACGCCAACCTCTCCTCTAAACCTGCTTTCCAGCTCACCCTCGAAAAAAGGCACAGCATTCCTTCTGCGTTGTGCGTGTGTTGGAGGCCCTGCTCTCCATGGCAACTCCCTCCTGACTCTAGAGAGCCCACTGCCTTCGTAAGCTAAAAGAAGCCGCCCTCATCTTAAACCTGAGAACCTAAACAATTCAGCTGCTCTCAGCTATCTCTTAATGTATTTTCTTTGCTTGGTCACATCTCAGCTTTCAAGAGACGATTCTAAGATTGTTTGCTGATGAGCCGATGAAGTTATGGTTACGTTTTGTGCTGCACACTTACCCTTTAATGTGAGTCAAGCGAGGCAGGCGCAAGTCTTGTAAGTCACCAGCTAGAGTCTACCTCAATCAACAGCCCCTCCCTGTTTTATAATATGGTGGGTAAGTCTAAAATGTGGGCACTGAATT